CTGGCAGGACGAGATGATCCCTAGAGCTCCCTTCCAACTCCAACATTCTGTGATTCTAAGCATGACAGGAAGCAACATCACGCGTGTGTTGTATTTAAACACCGTTCCAGTTCAATACTATCCCACAGACTTTAGCTCTGTCAAAGAGTTTGATATGGTTGACAGTATCCCGAAACGCCTGAAGCCTTCACATGGCCAGCACGGTTTGAATTAACGGTTGGGACCATAAGTAAGGGAATGATTTTTTTCACGGCAGTCGTGGAAGCAAATTCTGAAGCTCCAAATTATTGGGACGTGCCCCATACCTCAGCCTAAATATTCCCAGGGTTCACGAGAAGCGTAGTTTCAACAGACCAGCGCCCGCTGGAACAAACGGGAAAGCAAACCCCCTGAGCTCTACGTTTTTTCTGAAATGGTGTGCCTGAGCAGGTTATTTGAAACAGTTTCTGTATTGTGGGCGGCCTTTTTATTCCTCCTTCAACACGTGCTCGGAGCGTGTGTGTAATTTAAACCCCTGATCATTACAGATTGTGTGTCTTAAAGCAGTTTTCCTGTGTCCATCACTAAATCCCCGCGTATCACTGTGCTTCTCTTCCCTCCTCTGCAGGGCTGGCCCTGTGTAACGAGGTCAAGGACATTCTGAGCAGTGCCGAGCTCCCAGACCCAAAAGCCAACTTGCTGCTCCCGGAAGATGTGGCCCTGCGAAATCTTCCCCCTCTAAAAAATGCACACAAGAGGTTTAACTTTGAACAGGACCGGCCCATTTTCTCACCGGTTGAGGAGGTGAGTCGGAGTGAATCCTGAATCTTTGGCGCAAGCTGCGTTTCCCTTCCTGGAGGTGCAGCCCAGCTAAGCTGCACCAGTGAAGATCTAGTTCTTTCTTGCCAAAAAAAGACCCCAAACTGATCATAACTTCAGCCTCTGAGGCGGGTTCACATTACTGGTGGTGGCTGCAGTTACCTTTCTTTCTGTTTTCCCAACCACGAAGGGCCAAGGTGATTGTTTCTAGTAGAGGTGTGCAGAAAAAAAGCCGTCGTTCTCCTCTTGCCTCTCCCAGCTGGACCAGTCTGTTTCTTTGGGAGCGTTAACGTCACCTGCCTCGATTTGAGGGTGCAGCTCAGACGCGGGAGGTGGGACTCGTGCTTGTTAAACCACAGCGAGGTCGTGAACGTCGTCGTGAGCTGCCGGAGCAAAGCGCAGCAATCTCACGTCCCGCGCGAGCTCAGCGGCCCAGGCGAGAGTAGGGCCTGCCCTAAAATCAGTTGGAGATCGTTGTTTTATTTGATTCTTTTTCCTGGCGCTAAGGGCATGAGTGGAAATTTATGAGGGAGAGCCCCTTGATGTTGAGCTGAGGAAGCCCAAGCTGCAAGCACTTTCAAGCATTCTGGATGACTGTAGTTGCCATCCAAAATGTATAGGCTGGACTTGATCTCAGAGGTCTTCTCCAGCCTCAGTGATTCTGTGATTCTGTCTCTTTTGGATCTTTTTTCTTCTGCCTTTTCCAAAAGCATGAGCTGCAGGGTCGGAGCTGGCTCGGGCTCCAACCCCTCGTGAGGAAACGAGGCCGGTGATCGCCCGTCTGCTTTCTTTTCAGTCTGTCGTTCGGATTTGCTGCATTCGGAGCTTCGGCCACTTCATCACCCGCCTGCAAGGCAGCATCCTGCAGTTCAACTCGGAGCTCGGCCTCTTCATCAGCATCGCGCAGTCGGAGCAGGACAACCTGCTGCACCAGGCGCAAGCCCAGTTCCACATGGTGAGTTGGCCGAGGGCGGCCAGTCCTCCGCGCTCGGTGCAATTCCCTGGAGGTCGCTGTTGGATCGTGTAGTTACAATCGCGGATCTTTGTCGGGAGGACAAAGTTTTGCACCTTAAAGCGACTCGGGTGTCCCCTTTTCGCCATCTTTCTGGAGTCAGCTCGCGTGTTTCCTGCTAACTGATGTGGAAGTTTGTTTTTTGTAACTAGGCTGCCGAGGAAGCTCGTCGGAACAGGCTGATGAGAGATATGGCCCAGCTTCGACTGCAGGTAGGAGATGCTGGTTCCAGCCTCAAAATTGGCAAAGGTGGTGGCTGAGATGTCTCTAAGTAGGAAGGGAAGGGGGAGCTTGTGGCTCCCAGCCCCCACAGAGGCAGGAAGCCTCTTCTGCAAAGATGGAATCGTTGAGGGCCCCATAAGGGTTGTCAAGTCCACCTCGCTGCTCCTTGCGGGAGATCAGCACCTGCCCTGCTGCTGCCTCCCTGGAGGAGGTTGTAGACTGTGATGAGGTCACCCCTCAGCCTGCTCTTCTCCAGGCTGAGCAAGCCCAGTGGCCTCAGCTGCTCCTCGTAAGCCTTGTCCTCTAGACCTGTCACCATCTCTCACCTTGACCTGACAGGAGGGGTAGCGAGGGGGGGTCGATCTCTTCTCCCAAGTAACAAGCGATAGGACGAGAGGAAATGGGCTGAGGTTGCTCCGGGGGAGGGACA